ATGATTGGACACTACAAAACTTTACACCATGACAGCGACGATATGGTGTTCACTGCTTTTCCCAGGGAGAAGGATGTCAAGCTTCGCATTTTCAAAGGCACCCAGCGTGCCCTCCGTGGACATGCGTTTCACGTCTAAGACGCTGTTGTTCACGATAGGTGTCAGCATTGAGGGGCTTGCAATGTGTACCGTAAGCTTCACCAACGAAAAAAATAGAACACTGATTCTTGCCATGCCAGTGAAAGTCTGCAGCAGCTTTCGCAAGGCTGAATATATTCTCCACTGTGTAGGCGGACATGGCTTTTTCATACATCATCTGGAAGATCCTGGCCATCTGAAGCGCTTCTCAAGATTTTGCCTGCCTTGATAGTGCCCGGTGCACCCTGCTCGGTAGTACCAAGAATAAATACAGCGATTCTCGGTTGCTCCTTGCGTCGCAGCCGACGGCCCTGGGAAGTGATGCACTGCGAAACCCCATACGATTGGTGTAATCAATGTTAATTTCTGGCTTTCAAAATTTTCGCAAAACGATAAAGAACTGTATCATCAACCATGAAATCCGGCGTGACACCTTCAGCTAATTTTACAAGGCGTTGCAAGACGTTCTGATAATTCACGGCATGAGCATGGAATAGATTTGCGATTCTGCCAGCGTGAAGGTCCGTCACCCTACAAAAAATCATTGCTTCTGCCTCCTTTTGTGGCCACAGAACTCCGGAACGCGAAGCGAGAACCTGCTGTTGCTTGATTTTTCATGTAGTTGTAGTCTTGGGATACGTGTTGCCATTGCAAGTGTAACTCGCGAAGCAGTTGAAAGTGGGTTGCGATGTGGAAGGTGGATGTGTGGTCTGTGGTCTGTGGTGTGGGATGACTCTTGGTGCTGGCATCGTGGCTTTCGACGCTGTCTTGAAGGGTGAACTTGGTGGTGTCGGTGGAGGTGCAGGTGGAGGTTGACGTGGGCGCAAATTTTGTTGTGCGGGGGGGGGGGGGGGGGGTTGTGAATTGAAAGGTGGAAGTGGTCGTGGAAGTCGTGCTTGTGGACTTATATTAAGTGGGTGCCGAATGGCGGTCATGGTTCGTGGGTCCATTGTGGTTGCTTCCACCTGGGGGATGTTGGGTGTGACCACATTGCCACTGCCATCAAAGTTCATCAAAGGTGGGCGAGCTGGAGACTGTATTGGTGAGGCAGCCGGTGGTGCTGGAGATCATGATCGTCTTGATCGACGTTCTCCAGAGTGTTTAGTATATGGGTACTTTCCAGTACAGTTTCCAACATACTCAAACTGCACTCAAGCAATGCACTCATTCAATGAGAAGCTTCAGATCTCTGCACGTTCCAACATGCTCAGACTGCGCTCAAGCGAATCACACATGCAGAGACCAACATGCTCAAACTGCACTCAAGCACATCACTCATTTGAAATTTCTGTTTGAAAATGAGGCAGGTGAAACGATCTTTTTTTGGAACTGTTTTGTATTATTGTGAAGCGAACTTGTTAGTCACTCCTCATCTTGGTCAAGAGATGTGCGTACGAAGATCATCGGATCCAACGATGTGAGCGCTGTTATTGGTTCGGTGAATCCGACATGTCGTCCATTTTTGTGCATTTAATTCAAAACAATTCAGCTTTGGTCTGCGCCTCGTGACCGCTTTGACGCGGTATTGTAACATGTTCTTGACGTGGTCGATGGTGTCTGAAGAGCGGCGCACTAAGTGCAGCCTTATGCTTGCCACCTCGTGCAGCGATCTTCGGGCAAGTGTATTTCAACGGGACTCCCGCTTCCGTGGCCGTTCTTTTCATGGCAGTTTCAATGCTACCGGATTTGATGATCAGTGATGTGATTGTTGTTTTTTCCTTTGCACCAAAATGTTGAACAAATAGCTGCGGAGTCTTCATGATAATTCAATCACAACACACTCTACGGACTCTACGTGCTCCAACATTTGCAACACGGCCCTCATGCCATGAACTGCAGGATAGTCTACCGCTGCAACAAATGCAACACGCCTCATGTGATTGCAGGAATCTGCTACCGTTGGTTGCAATATCATCAACGTGCATTAAACACAACCTGCCACTGTAAACGCAAAGTTGTGCGATCGAGAATACTCGAACTCGGTAATTTCGTTCGGAACGGTGATGGTGCTCAGAGCGTACTGAGATCGAGGCGACGGATGCACTGATGCCACAGTGATCGGTGTTGGTGCTCGTCTTGGGGCTAATGCGCTTCGCAAGCCTACTTGCTCCAGTGGCGTCGAACAAAATGAGAACTGGAAACACGGAAGGGATTGCATGGCAAAGGCTTCTGGTCACAATCTTGAAAATTTTCGTATAGCACGAGAACATACTTCACGTATGCTGCTGTAGCAAGTTGTATAGTAGGAGAACTTACTTCATGTATGGTGCTGTCATTCCCCAACGCAAGTTGCAAGTAAGAGAACATACGTCACGTATGATGCTGTCATTCCCCAACGCAGGGTATGCTGCTGTCATTCCTCAACATCCTCAACGCAAGTTGGCTAGTGGACGATGTTGCACTTAGGAGCGCGAGTCGCCACTGTGCCAACATCTTGCAGCATTTATGTAGGAAAGTATTTTGGGAATCTGCTGCGTTCAACCTTCTGGCCACCGAGCTTTCTAGATAAAGTTGGAGCTTCACGACTGGAGCGATGACAAATATCCAGCCAAAGTAAGTACACACGTGGATTGACCTATGAATTGATCGATCTCATATATCGGGTTAGCATGCTAGGATCTTCTTTTCATCTTCAGTCTTCTTCTCTTTATTTGCATGTTTTTCGATCATGTCAGGTCAATGGTGCCACTCGGAACTGGGGTTCTTGGCTTGGCCCCTTGCCACACAGACAAAATATCGTGGGTACGTCTGGCCGACCAGGCCACATATCACCATGCACTGACAGTGTCTTCGTTGGGCAGTGACTGTCAGGCATGCACTGCCCCCCTGCTGCATGATCTGTGCTCCAGGGTGGTACGCGCAAAGACAACAAACACACACACACACACTTTAGGCATCCATCGCGCAGCCACTCGTTTGTGTCTTGACCAGCCTTGCTGCACGTCTTCATCGGAAGATCAACTTCCAGGGGTTCCGGCGCCAATCTGGACTCAAGGCTCATCAATTGGTTTGTTGTTCAGTTTGTCCTGTACATGGCAGCTGTTCAGACAATGCAATCAACGACATGTATGAACAATCATTGAATCACAACATGGAGGCTTCACTCTAGATGTTGGTTACTCCAGTGCCACAGGGGGCCCACTGGCTAATCCGAATGCAGCTACACAATCTGGCGTCCCCGATCGCTTCACAGCACTTCTACCACCGTCTTCGTTGGGCAATGGATGATAGAAGGCTCACTGCCCCCCCGCAATTCTGCACGAGTGAAGTGGTAACAGAGTTCTACACACACAGAAAGCCACCAGAGCATTCTCACCAAGACTTTCTCAGCTGGAAATTTTTCTCGAGCTGTATGTAAAAGTGGAGGGCTCGATGCTTGGGATTGCGGAGGTTTCTCCTCGGGTGTCAAAGCAATTCCAGTTTCTTGCAACTTCCGCTTGGCCTTGGCCAACTGTGCGAGGGTGGTGCATCAGAAGAAGTACGAGCTTGCTGCCAGTCGCGGTTGTTCCCACCCGACGATCCACTTGTCTTCCAAGACGAACCACACCATGCTCCGGAGGACCAATCTCGGTTCCACGACATGGTCCGAAGTTCGAGGGAGTTTTCTGAAGTGGAAGCTGATCTGAAAACGTGGTCTGCCGATAGAAAAGCCGGTAGAAAAGCCGGTGATTGCATCGGATCTGCGACAAGACAAAACCTGCAATGAAATCTGGCACGCAGGTAGCACGGTAAACGAGTACAGGACCAGCTTGTAACTACCTGGAACACAGTTAGGCATCCATCGCGCAGCCACTCGTCTGTGTCTTGACCAGCCCTGCTGGACGTCTTCATCGGAAGCTCAACTTCCAGGGGTTCCGGGTGCCAATCTGGACTCAAGGCTCTTCAGTTGGTTGGTTTGTTCAAACTGTCCCGTACATGGCAGCTGCTCAGACAATGCAATCACAGACATGTATGAACAAGCACTGAATCACAACATGGAGGCTTCACTCTAGATGTTGGTTGCTCCAGTGCCACAGGGGGCCCACTGGCTAATCCGAATGCAGCTACACAATCTGGTGTCCCAGATCGCTTCACAGCACTTCTACCACCGTCGTCGTTGGGCAGTGGATGAAAGAAGGCTCACTCCTCCCCCTGCAATTCTGCACGAATGAAATGACTCTTGGTAACAGAGTTCTACACACACACACACACACCCGCGCGTGCGCGAGCACACGTGCGCGCCATCCTCCATCCAGTGAGCCGCCCCAGACAGACGGACACAACCACAAGGAACGCACTAACATAATTTTTGCTGCAATGAGTACATAAGAGACTTTCCGAATGAGGCCCAGCCGAATACAAGGTACCCAAGCCAGCAAAACAACCAAGACAAACATTGCACAGCGATGATTGCAGATACTGCTCTATGTTCCGAATCGAAATTCTGCAAGTACAACATTCGGCATACTTTATCAGCTTTTATTACGAGCGCTGAATGGACATCTTTGTTAGTTCTCGTCCCATTTAGTTTCTACCAGCCCCGGGTGCATTCGATCCCCAGACGAACGTAGCTGATCATTTTTGCTGGAATCTAACTTTGGCGTGGTTTCTTGTCTGAGCCCCGCGGTATTTGGTGAGAAACACACGCAAACTCGTGCCATTCAGCACAGTTTAGTTTAGTCCTTGTTTGATCGGCAAATCCGGGTAATTGGATTCGGCAACGAAGCATTCCATTCCGTGGCATTGCAGCAGACTTCATAATTAGATCGCGAGGTGCCTGTGTTGTCGTGTCGTGTAGTGTATTGGCTGTATTGCTCTTGGTTGCCACACTGATCAAGACTCTACTCGTGTTGGTTGGCGGTGTCGGCTACCGGGTTTTCGTCATGCAGCATGCGCTGCGAGCCGTCAGCAACTACAAATCTTCAGCGACGCAGGCCTTGATCTTTCCTGTGCTGGTGTGGCTGTCTGTCTGCGCCGCAAGAGGAGCTGGCTTGGATGTAAGCAGGGCTCACAGCTGAACAGTTCGCAGACTTGACAGTTGTGCATGTGACATGTGACTGTAAAGGTCACTGGCTTACAGCCGGCGCACGTCAGCTGCCATCTAAGTCTCGTTGGTGCTCTCCCTCTGCGGCCTATGGGGTACTGTTGCGGATGTCGATGTGCGGAGTCTGCATGTAAGTTACTATACGTAGACAGTTCGCAATTTCCTCAGCTTGTTTATTGAACGCCAATTGAACGCTTTCCCACCCTATCGAAGGTTCTTAATAAAGTGGACTGTAGCCACCTAGCCGATAGCTGAAAGGTTGAAGGACTCAGGGACCTCGAAATTTGGCGAAATCGATGAGAAACCAAGTGCTGCAGACATGGCGCATGCTGAGTACGGCCTCAATGCATGCAGCCGGCGCAACTGCAGCACGGTGCACCGGAAGAAAATTGGCAGAGCTGACAAAAGCCATGGAGAATCTTTCCTTACTGGTATTCCAAGGCCAGCGCAACGTCCTGAGATTAACTTGTGACGCGGCCGTGACTGGAGGACATCAGACGCAGAGTCGACAGTCCGGTTTCCTGGCCCTTGCCGTGCCAACACAGGTGTACAACGGAAGAGAACCTGCAGCTGACTCGCACTCCAGCGCCTTAACACGCTTTGCCAGTATGCCACGTGTCCCCAGTGGCGAAGGAAACCCTGCCTACGCAATCTGAGACAAAGCTTCCAGCCAGTCTAAACATGCACCAATTGCATGCATTTTCGCATGTCGTACAACCCAAGCAAGTGCCAGGATGCTTGTTGGCCCATCGAGTCGGCTCCTGCCATGTGCCAATTTCAGGTACGTTTTTGCCTTGTTCGGATCGCAGAGCCGAGACATGTGCCAGACCCAGAGTGGAGACTGCAATGCTGCGAAGCTGTAGCTGTTGTAGCCTGTTGTAGCTGTTTGGCACAGTCAGACATTCCCGAAGGACGGCTTCACCACAGGGTTATTCTTGACTTGAGGAGCTCAAGGACCAGGAAAGAAGGGCTGACCTGGGAGGTAGTCCAGGCACTGCCGGAGGTCCGGAGCAGATCGCAAATCTGCGAGAGATGTAGAGTTCAGGACTCCGAAGTTGAACCACTGGGGGGATGCTGGGGTTTTGGGTTGGGGGGATCAGGCTCCGTCTCTGTGTGTCCACGTGTGTGTTGTGTGTGTTTGTTTGTTTTTTGGTGCAGTGCACAAGGACCATTAGACAATTCGACAAGACACGACATTTCGGTCCCACTCCAGCACCTTGGGGTCGCACTGTAGGTGAGTTGGGAAAGAGGGGTTGAAGAAAGACACAGGCTGCAACAGCTACACGGTTCACATGATTGGACACATAAAAGAAACCAAGTCGGCTTCCGGAGTGCTCAAATCTCGAGTGCACGATACCACTCAATGCCAACTGCCCTGCTGCGCTATCGTTCCGAATTGGGGGCCTCACGTGACAGCAACGATCTAAAGCAAGACGAGCTTGCAGGTAGCATTGGTGCTTGTCACCCATAAATCTACAGCAAGAGCCAGAGCCAGTGTATGTTGAAAGTGAGCCGTACAGGTGCCCTATGCCGGCAAACACTAGCTTCCTGATGAAGGCTGCACTGAGAATCTCAGGTGCGTGATCCCTGGTAGGATTCATGTCTGCGGCAGGTTCATCACTACGTTGTGACTTTGGCTTGCCTGCTTTCCCTCTTGGCGCCGAAGGCCAGGTACGTTGGGATTTCGATTTTGCACGGCCCAGCAGCCTAGAGCCCAGTGGCTTCGACAGTGAAGCGTTCCGCTGGCCCTAGTAAGGCTTCCTGCAGCTATCGGATTTGCTTGTTCGCTGCTGCGGCAGATCTCTATCCACACTCAAATACACTTTGAAGCGTGGCGAGCCTCTTAAAAAACCTGGTTCGCTTACGCCGACGTGCTGTGCTGCGCTTCCTCGGCGGGGAGTTTCCGACACACTGTCTCAAGTTGCACTGTCAATGGTTGAACCCCTGCTGTGTTTACTGTTGGTGCAGGCATGATCATGATCAGGTTTTCGGCGTTACATCGGCAAAAGCGGTGGCACGGAAGCTCGATCAGGGTTTAATGGACACTTGATGAAGAATTCCGAATTCTGGTGGCAGCCAACAATGAGCCGCACTTGAAATGAATGGCCGCAAGACGGTAAATGCACCCGTGGGAACTTTACCGCAAGCCGTGCCACACGTCGAGATGCGCGATGCACACTGTCCAATTTAATGCTACACGGCCTGACGCACATGCACGACATGTTGATGACCATGCCTTTGATGTCATAGCGCAAGCCCCGTGGTTTGAATTGAGATACTGCTTGCCACAAGACTTGCAACTCAAGCCTGAAAAGTGGAGACGGAAGTGCCGAGGGGTTTGGACTCTTCATTGCTGGCACCTTCATTCTGGACTGCAGGGTTCTCATGCCTGTTGATCATGAAGGGTTGATGTTGTTTGGAAGAGAGGTGCAGACAAGCACTTGTGCAGGAGCTGGGGTCAATGTTCTACAACCTCAGGGTGCTGTATCCAGGCTCGGGAATGTGTAGAGCATGCTTGCAGCGGTGAACCCTGGCGAATAGGAGTTCGTATGATACTGTTTTCAAGCGTTTGGAGGCCACAGACTGATAGAAGTGGTGTACCAGGCGGGTGTGTCGACGATATTAGCTGCTAGCACAGGCACTAAGCATGAAGTGTTCAGGTAACCATGCCGGCATCAAACATTGCTGCCTTGGCTGGAGGCTTGTCCTGGACCCAGCAGATTCCTGGAGATTCAACACACAAGTCACATTGCATTCATGTCTCTGTCTCCCAGCACTAAGGCTCTTCTTGAAGATGCAAGAAGTTCCTTTGTGGATGAGGGCCGCTCCACGGCTTCTTTTGAAGCGGTGTGTAGCTGCGTAGCTGCGTGCGGGCAGGTTCTCTATTTCGCAGCCGATGTCGGAGTTTGTATAGGTCGGCAACGTCATGCGTTGAAGGCAAGGCGCGATGCACACTGACGACAAGAATCGACAAGGAAGCGTCCCCAGCAATTGCCGCCAGGATGCTGGCCTGATTGGACCGCGGAAGGCCGGAGACATCGGAGCTGAGCTGCGTAGCAGGGCGGAGCAGTGGAATTTTGTGTAGCAGTGTCTGCCTCATAGTGACTTTGTACAACTCGGCTCAAAGCAAGGGTCAGGGCTGCTCTCAAGACTCTGGAGCGTTTCCGGAATCCTGGCGGCGCGGCCTGTGGAGACCCATGGCCATGCACTCAGATCCGATCGGCCGACCATGCTTGGATCCTTTCAAAGCTTCGCCTCATCGGAAGAGAAGCCCTCAGACGGGTAAGAGATTTCGCCGCCGAGGACAAAGACAGAGTGCTTTCTCGTCTCACCAACCACCACTCACAAAAAATGCCCGCAACGAGCGAGTTCTACTTTTTGTTCTTGCTAGGATCCCTCGCAGCGCTCAGTCATGGACCTGGCTAAAGAATTCAATTGTTTCAACAGAATAGCAGAGCGCCCAAAACAACAGCCTTGCCAACCCATCTTGCAGTTTCGGCCTGGCTTTGCGTTCGATTGCACCCACTTGTCATGACACTCGGGCCCTTAGCTTTGCCGCGCCTCCTTGCTGGGAGTTTCAGTCTGCTGGATTCTTGGATCTTCGGGCCATGAAATATCCGACAAGTCTGTCGCAGTTGTTGCATGCAGACATCGGCAGGTCCCTACTCGAAGCAATGTCTCCAACATTTGTAATCTTTGACAGGGACCTGCAGCTTTCGGAAGTGCTCATTGCCCTCCATTGAAAGCCCCCAAGGTTCGTTGACTGACGATGACTTCTCTCAGAATCCTACTCGCGGCAATAGGTGCCGGGCCTGCGAAGCTGTTCAAGTGCACGTGCAAAGGCTGGTAGCAGGGAGGCCCTCTAGGCCTCTCTGGGCTTCACTAGGCTTCACGAGGAGCTTCAGGCCTCAAGGGCAAGAAGCCAATGGGACCCGTTGCTGCCCAGGGAGTCGGGGTGCGAGTTGCAAAACCTGGGTGCTGACGCTCCGAGAGCGGATGCGGCAGCTACGAATTCGCCCGACTTGGCATAAGCTAGCAGAAATACACCCGTCGGGCTCCGGTATCGCGCGGCTTGTCGGTGTCCTTGCAATTGATGGAATTTCCTTTTTTGCAGTCTGCTAGGCGCCGTCCAGCTGGCTGAAGCCAATCACCTGCTGCGAAGAGCCAGTCTCCAGAAGGTCAGCGGTGACAGACCTCGTAGGTTGGTTGCATGTGCTTGGATGTGCTTGGCCTGGCCAGGAATTACCTCCTTGTGTTGATGATGTGGATCAAGTGGCCTGGAAGGGCCACATCTACCGCACGCTCTACGGTGCGAAAGTCGAAGGAGAGACTCCCACCAGTTGCGAAGAGACTTCGTATCAGGAGATGCCTGAGAACTACAGCCTTGCTCCAGACGAGGTTAGCATCGTGTCCCATGTCATCGCTGCGCACAAGTGGGGCATCTACCGAGTTTGCCTCGAAACCGGGTGCTACGGGACGAAGCATGCCAAGACTGGTGAAGTTGGGGAGCAGCTGAACAACGGCCAGTTTTGGGAGATGGATGCTGGCAAGTACAAAGTCAAAGAAGCTTGCGCCGGAGAAAACTACCACCGACTTCTCGTGCGTCAACAATGTCAGGCAGGTGTCAGAAAGCCTGGCTTCCGCCACTGCCGCCTACCCACGTAATCTTGACAGATGGTAAAGAGAAACACGAGTGGCCCAACTCACTCGCGCTCAAGCCGAGCTAAGTCAGCCATTCACCTGTCTCAGCATCCATACGTCAAAGTCTGTGTATGAAGTAGGTGGCATCTGGAAACAGATGCCACTGTGTAAGTGTAAGTTTGCAATTATCCCTGGAGCCAAGCCAGCACTTAGTCGAAACAAAATCTGACCAAGGCTTTCGACTGACCAGCCAACCTGAAGGCAAACCACACCTCACGAGGACTCATCCGTGTCCAAACGAATCCAAATCGCTTTGTGCAACAAGATCTCCGCCATCGTGAAGAGCTGCACGAATGCAGAAGATCGTCTTCTACATTCGTCTGGCGTTAGGCCATCTGCACTCACTCATACTCATCTGACATCATCTGACACAGTCATCTGCATGTTGCCCGAGTATGCGCGCTAGTTGCCCAACAGAACCACGTTTATTGTACGGCAGTGTACAGCCTTTCCTGTTTTGAGCAGGCATCTTCACATGCCATCACAAGTCAACAGCAAGCACTACGGATAAACATGAATGCCGATGCAAGCCTCCTGTGCCGCCATTTTGAAGCCATGAACACAGTCAATCCTGTCAACGTGTCTATGCTTGTATGCATCTCTCTCTCCCTCTCTCTGAGTCTCTATCTCTTCCTTTGGTTTTGCTGTCTCTATGAATGTAACAGAACTTGGGGTTTCGAGCGGCTCTTCACCAAAGATGCATGGTTAGGCCACTGTTGCCTGCAGAGGTGGCGCTTGATGGCTTTAAGAAGTTTGCCTATTCCACGGGCATTGGAACCACTGCATATTCGGAGATACCGCGATTTGCCAACGAAGGCCGGAGCGTTGATGCACCCAGGGTCGCAGGGTCGCAAGCTGACAGCAGCAACAGTAAGTCGGGTTTCTCTCACTGGAATAACTCCTTGCTGTCACAGGGTTAGGCGCCTTGCTTTGCAGGTTCTTATTCAGAGATTCTCCAAGCAGCAAAGGATGCATGCAAGACTGATGCAGACTGCGCAGCGTTTGAGATCATGCGGACCTTCAGTCTGGACAAAAATCCTGCATTCAGAGACTGGGGTCAAACCTGGGCAGACAAGATCGATGCTTCCGACGGTGGGTGGCTCGTATACAAGCTTCACAAGCGCGACGCCGGCTCAGACTTCAGCATGCACGATACAGAGGAGCTCGACTGGTACGCGTCGAATCGCGACGAGGACATCTACAACTACCAGGCACTGCCCGCCTGCCATACCTGACCTTGTCTAAGACATACATGCGCTGCTCAACAACTCTGAGCACAGTCTGATCTCCAGGCAACACCGCTGCGTTGCAGCTGGAAGACCAACTTCACCTGTGGTTTCGGTCCTCGTATCAACATCGCAGTTTCTACAACGGCAAACTCGAAGGACTTGAGATGACTTGAGGGCGGCATCGCTTTTGACACATGAGCATATGCGTGAGCTGCAGGAGGACTGCGAGGCTCACTGCCAGACCAGCCAAGTCGCGGAGCCCGTCCGAGGATGCTGCTCTTACTCGCAGGGTCAATGCAAGTATGGCGAGGGTGCTCAACTGGACTCCCTTCAGCCTGGAACAAGCTCAGCGGACTGCTGGCCGGAGGCACAGACAATTTCTCAACCTGATGCCACGTCTCTGAAAACATCACCTTCCATTGATTGTAGTATGAGCGATACTCACAACATCATGCATGAACATGCCACTTGGCAAGCACTGCACTCACTTGTTATAGTTGCGCCTTATTGGTCTTATTGTTGCGCCTTATCGTAGTCCAGCAACAGTTCCACTCTGAGAGTTTGGCAAGTAGCGGCAGTAGTTCTGCAAATTGAAGCAGCCAGAGTGGCAGAGTGGATGTCTAGGCTTACAGCGGCAAGCCAACCGCGCGTGCAAGCGTCAGCTTATGTCGAGTCTGGATCGCGCAGTTCTGTGGTTGCTGCGATTGCACTGTCGTTCTGAATTGGCAGAGCATTCCAGCACACAGAGTCAACTGAAAAGTCAGACATGATTCAGACTCAATGCAGTGTGCACTGCTTGTGGACAGCGTAAGGTGATCTTGGGATGAAATTATACATATAGAAGCACACAGAGACTTCAGAGTAGCACTCGATGCATAAAGCATAGTGGTATTTGCGTTGTACCTACCAGGCATTTAGACTCTGACTCGTGTGTGCCAACTTGATTTTGGCAGCAAAGCATCCCCAGTCGCAGACGAATCCTGTGTGATGAGTCTGATGCAGCTTAGCCGGCTCACTCTGCAGATCGTACCAACAACGACATCGACTACAACAACTACGACCACCACGACGACAACGACGACCACAATGGAGACGTCTACGACGACCACAACAACCACCGTAACAACGACAACAGTCACCACGACCAGCACCTCAACAACTACAAGCACGACCACCACCACAACAACAACCTCCACGTCGACCACCACAACAACGAGCACAAGCACATCAACAACAACGACGACTACCACAACAACAAGCACAAGCACCACCACCAGCACAACCACTACGACCACCACGACTACATCCACGACAACCACCACTACTACGACCACGACTACCACGACGACTACCCCATGGATATCCGGCATTTCGCCATCCTGTATTACGGTGAACAAGGCATCGGTGCATGCAGTTCACCACAGCTTGTCTTGCGGAATCTGCCAGCTCTTGACAGTAACAGGTTACTGAAATTACCTTCTATGGAGGTGATCCTGGTGACAAGGCTCCGGCCAAGCTGGAGGCGGTGAGAGCGGTGAAAGTGAGAAAGCACATGCCAGGTGAGATTCGAGGTGGACTGCGACTCCGTCTCTGATGACAACTTCACAGTATTGTGGCTTGTCCGAACGATCCAGCCGAGATTGCCTGCATAAAAGTGCTTCTCTGCTAGGCAAGATGGGCGAGAGGGAGCAACGGCCGAGTTCTCTCCCAAGGAAAAGGCGCCCAACTCTGAAGCTTTGCCCGGCCTTGCAGAGATGCCTGCATGTCTGATCCAGCATGCCTGCTGGCAGGGAGATGGCTTTCTATTGTGCTACAAGCGCGGCCACGAAGAAGTTCATGGTGAGCATCACTTGACGCTGGATTCTTGCCAAGGCCAACAGCATCTTGTGGGTAGATTGGAAGAACTCCGAAATGTTTCGAAGAAGCTGACTCAAGCTCGCCGGTTGTGCTGTTGAATGTGTTGTCAAATGCGCGGTGCGTGGCAGAATGCTATGCTAACCTTGTTGGCATTTGCGGCTTTGCGTACGTGGCACACACCAGCACCTCCCATCCGGCCGGTCGCCTTGCAGCCTTGCAGCGGAGCTCTTTCGCTGTATCTTTTTAGTGCCGACATGCGTGTGCCACAACAATAGGAGTGGGAGGATGCTGGGAGATGGAGGAACGGGACCAAATACAGCGAAGGTAATTGGTAGCATGTCCACGATATGAGACTGTCGTACCACTCACAGCAGAGGCAGCAACTACCTCCGCAGATAAATGTCAGTTAGGGTGTATGTTTCATTCGCTTGGCTGTCAGCCAAGTGTGTGCTGAGCCAGCCGAGGATGTGAAGGGTCCAACTGGTACTGGCCACATCTCGTCGATAAGCCTGCAGCTCAGCTTTGCCAGCAATGTCTCGCAGAGAGCCTTTTCGCCGGGAATGTGTCCTTTGCCTCAGGTCCGACTTTGGTGAAAAAGTCCGAAGCGGCGGAAATACAGCTGGAAGGTCCTGAGAAGACAAAGGGCAGAGACACTCGGCAACCGAATCGCACAGCTTAGGCTAGGCTAGAGTCTTGGCAACAGGCTACATCGTCGTGGCCATGTCGTGGCATTTCCATACGTGTTTTGGCTGAGGTGTGCTTCGCCCCAAGCTGCGCATTGTGTCCGCAGCTCTATGCAACTGGTCAGCAATGTCAGCATCAGCATGATTTTCAACAAATGGCAAAGCTGCCCCAAAGTTCCATCTTACCAATGCGTGAGAGCGAGCGTTTCCGAGCTGAAGTTCGATCCGGTGTCAGGATGGCACAGAGTATCCAACAGTGGAAATTCCCGGCACAGTGAGCTTTGTGAAGGAGGCTCACTTCTTCTTAGTGTGAGGAGTAGCTGAGACTGAAGGTGACAATGTGTCGGCGAAGTGCTTAAGCTGAAAACTGGCCGGGGCTGACAGGCCAACAAGCTACACCTTGTGGCTCCTCAGAATGCTTCCCGCCTGCGGTAGAGGCTTCATACTTCATACGTATTATACTAGTATGTTTCATGCAATAGGCTACCGGGCTCTCTATCTACTATCACATGCCTTGTCTCGACGGCATGCATCTCTTTGTTTCCTGTCGCAGATTCGACGATCCTAGGACAGCAACGTCTATAAAGTTTGCTACCAAGAAGAAGAGAGCTGTGCCACTTGGAGTGTACTGGCATGCGGCATGCACCGACAATTTGACACGTAGTCACGGACAGGTCGAAGTTATCTGCAACGTTGTCCTGCCGAGTGGCAGTGAACCATTGTGCACCCTTTGCGAAGGAGTGGGCCGAGCAATCCGGTGGTCTCAAGATCCGTTTTGATCCACACATCAAGGGCATCGACCAAAGATGCATCGGAGCGCCGCCCGTCATTGAATTGACTCGGCAGCATCAGTGTGTTGGTCAACCCTTGCACTCTTTATCTGCATCAGGAACAGGGATGCCACCATCAAATTTGAAGGCGCCTGGCCGCGCGATCGGGTCCAATTTGCTCCCAGCTGCGACAGTATCACGGAGCCAAAGGATTCCTGGTCTCAAGAGATCAGACTTGAGGGGCACGGAAGACGTTATTTGTCACCACAAGAACAAGATCATGCTTGAAAGTCCAGGTGAGGTTAGCTGCAGTGTAGCCAAAGCATACTATAATCATACAGCACATTACAGCACTGAGACTTCCGTACATGACGCTTTCCCTTCATCCGAGGAAGAACTGCATGGTGAGAACAAGCGAGCAATGTGGTATGCAGGCCAGTCTTGCCGTGTTCTCGGTACCTGGTCCATGCTGAGCCTTCATTACATCGGAAGGTGAAGCTCTTGATGGTCTCAAGCTGTGCTACAAGCCAGACACTTCAGATGCAGTCCCCGGACCGCAAAATTCGTTTTCGCCTGCTGCCATGTGATTTCGAGGCACAGCAGCAAGCTGTCATGGCCTGCCCCTGTTGAGGTGTCGGGATACAAGGCAAGTGTCCAGGAGCAGGATGACATCCTGCTCTACATTAAAAAGGTCACGCTCAAAAACATCATCACATCGCTCCTGGCAGCAATGGGATTTGTAGGACCTTGTGTCCGCGAAGTGTGAGGGCGTGTGTGTGTGTGTACACGCCTGNNGGCTCCAGTGACAAGCCTTGCCCAACAGGGCCAAGTCACTGGAGCGGATGCAGTAGCTGATCACCACTATGTCACTAAGTACCTGCCATGTGTGACATCTTATGTGATACACTTCTGAGAATGAGCCTTTTGAATGGTTGCCGCACTCTATCGGAGTCTTGTCGCATGTTCTTCGCCGTTACCCGTGCGTGCGTGCGTGCGTGCGT